GGGGGGGGGGGGGGGGGGGGGGAGGAGACAGGGAGAGATGGAGAGTGAAGAGAAACCAAAACACTTCAATGAAGATCAATAGTTTGATGGTGGACCTTTTAAGTTGCTATGTCACAGGAAGATGGATAAACTGAAGAGATGAAAGAGAGAGGGAGACAGAAAAGCCAAACACTTCAATGTATATCAATAGTTTGATTAAAGGTACCTTCTATGAAGCCACCAAAAGCTCGTAAAGATATTACATCAGTAGAAACTGAATCGCAAACAGCTAAAAGTATATTTAAAGCTTAGGAACATACTAGATCTCTCAAGTTCAAAAATCGGACAGGGTCAATTAGATTACTCGCTGTGACACGTACAAAAGAACCAACATAACTGAGTCCAGCCACATTTGAAATAGACACATAAATACCACAACATTCCCAACTAAAAGTCTAGGGTGTGCTATGATGTCACGCTATCAATTCCCTCAGAGTGAACTGCACCACCCTTTTAGACAAAATAGGTCAATCAAAATGAGACAGAAGAAATATTTCATCACCCACCTCCACACAGCTGCAACAGTGGATCAACATGAATGATACTAAAATGCACTTCAAAATTAACCATGCGGTGAACTTTCACTTCTATACAGTAAAAAGATGCTTAATACTATCCTCCTTGTTTCATTTTTCATTAGTGTCATACAACATAAAGTGTGTTGGATACCTGTACGCCCCTGCATCTTTGTCCTGTACAAAGAAAAAAAAGCTACTAAAAAGTGCAATAGGCACCAAAGTTACCTGCCAATCTGGTTGAAGGCCAGGAGAATTAGCTGCAAGCTTGCTGGAGAGTTTCCTTTTCAAACCGTCGATTTCTGCAAACAACCAAAGAGAAAGAAGAACAGCACTGAAACTTAAGGGTATACTATACAGAAAAAGCTAACGGAAGGGTATATCTAGGTAAAGTTTAGCAAGAAACTCATGACTTACAAGAAATGTAAAGAGAAAGTATTATAAGGATAACTTTTGATAGCTATGATAAGAAATAATGTATCACAAATTAGACAAGAATATACCATTTTCTCCTGGCTTTAGACGTCCACCTGGAAGTTTGCAAAATGTGTTCCCGATTTGCAGAAGAAGAATATGAGGATGATTATGTTCTTGTACCTGTGAATTTGAGGTACAATTATAAATGATATTTGATAATCAGTCTTGTTTAAAAAAAAAACTTCTCCCAATCAAATTGATTTATGTGCCAAATTAAGTAGTTTCATATCTTTGCCAATCTATGACTACAGAAATTCTATGAAATGTAACAGCTTCACAAGTTCAATAATATGAGCTAGTTTCTTTTTCTTTTTTTAATTGATAATCGCATGAGCTAGTTCTTTTAGACTTGACCCCCCACCCCCCACCCCCAAAAAAACAGCCTATAAGTCATCTTAAATTCTTAGTTTGGTGCGCATAAATTCATTATTTTCCTATCACAAGAGTATAAGCCAACCCAAAATATAGCTGCAATTTATGCTGGGTACAACAATCTTTTTCCTCCCCTTCCATTAATAAATGTTGAGACCTGCTAATAATAACCTCTATGAAGGAAATTTATTTTTGATCAGGCAAAAGGTGGATCTTCTTAATGCGGGATGTTTTGTGCAGCGGGTTGCCCGCAAAAGTGGATATTCATTACTCAGCATCCAGAAAATGCAATTGCAGTACAAAAGCAGAGAGCTGCCTCACATTCTTTCTCCTATCTAAGAAGCTTACAAAATCCAGAAATATAAGTGCTTTATTTACATCACAATGGTTAGACCAAGCAAAAAGGTTCAACAAGCATCTACTCTGCTCACTGCTGTACATGAAGGGGTTGACACTCCATCAAAGCAACTTTGATCCCTCTCCTTCCAAATGCTCCAAATAACAGAGTGCACTTTTACATCACAATGGATACACCAAGTAAAAAGGTTCGGCAAGCATCTTGTCTTTGGTACATGCATTGGGGCTGAGAGCCTGAGACTCCATCAAA